CAAAGTAATATAAAGTATTCATACAACTCAACAAAAGGAAGACAAACAATCCAATTAAAAAATGGGCAAAGGACCTAAATAGACACTTCCCCAAAGAGGACATACAGAAGACCAAGAGACATGAAAAAATGCTCAAAGTCACTACTCATTAGAGAGATGCAAATTAAAACGACATGCGGTATCACCTCACACCTGTTAGAATGGCTACCATCAACAAATCAACAACAAATAACAATGCTGGTAAGGATGTGAAGAAAAGGGAATCCTAGTGCACTGCTGGTGCCTTCACCACCCTATTGTCTGTGTCTATGGGTTATGCATATATGCATACAAGTTCTTTGGTTGATTACCTCCCACCCACCCACCCACTCCAGGCTTCCCTCTGAAATTCAACAGTCTTCTGAAACTCCATGCTTCTATGCCTCTGGATTTATTTTAGTTCAACAGTTTATTTTGTTCATTAGATTCCACATATGAGTGAGATCAAGTGATACTTATCTTTCTCTGACTGGCATATTTCGCTTAGCATAATACTCTCCAGGTCCCTCCAAGCTGTCCAAAGAGTAAGAGATCCCTCTTTTTTTACTGCTGCATAGTATTCCATGGTATAAATGTATTACAGCTTTTTAAACAATATACTTCTAAATAGCCCATAGGTCAAAGAAGTCTCAAAAAAAAATAAAACATATTTGGAACTAAATAAAAATGCAAGCACTACCTATCAAAATGTGTGGGATACAACGAGAGCAGTGTTTAGAGGGAAATTTATAGCATTAAATGCATATATTAGAGAAGAAGAAAGATCTAAAAGAAATCATGTAATCTGCCACCTTAGGAAACTGAAAAAAGAAACGATATATCTGGGATCAGGTCTCGCTAGAGGGCCCAAGTAAGCTGCATGAGGAGGAGGCACCCCATGCCATCCACCAGGTTGTGCCAGAGCTTCTTCCTCAGCTCATACGTATGACCACATGGGTAGTGGGTCCCCTAGGAGCAGCTGTTGGAGGAGTAAAAAGGCTGACTTGATTCCAGGATGGGTCACCTTGGCATATAATGGACGACAGAGGGGGACCAGAGAGTGCAGTGAAGGGGGAAATCTTCCAGTGTGCAGAAGTTTTGGTAGTGCACTTGGTTATCCACTTTGTATGGAAAGAGTAGTGGCCTGGGATTGGAATATATATGGACTCAGACAGTGGTGACCAACCAGAATGTTAAGAATAAAATTCCCGCCGTAACTGGTTTGGCTCAGTGGATAGAGCGTTGGCCTGCGGACTGAAAGGTCCCAGGTTTGATTCCGGTCAAGGGCATGTACCTTGGTTTCGGGCATATCCCCAGTGGGCGGTGTGCAGGAGGCAGCTGATCGGTGTTTCTCTCTCATCGATGTTTCTATCTCTCTCCCTTCCTCTCTGTAAAAAATCAAATAATAAAAAAAAAGAATAAAATTCCCTTTGCTGTCCTTGGCCCTATTGGGGCATTTGCTTTCTTGATAGCAATACAGCTTTGATACTCTAATATTTTCATCCTTGGCCCGGTGCTCCTCTCTTTCTCATCTGTCCCATTTATCATTAGAAATCAAGGGCTTATCACTGAGGTCCCTACATAGTCCCATGAGTTTCTTTGGTATATTTCCTGCTTCTTTATTGGGACCACTTGTAATAACCCAGTGAAAGTTACTTTTAGTTATTCCCAAGCTTTATAGCTATGTTTCCTCATTGGCAAAAATGTGTCTATAAATTCTCTCTGAAGCCTTTTAAAAATATTTTTTTTATTGATTTCAGAGAGGAAGGGAGAGGGAGAGAGAGATAGAAACACTACTGATCATTTGATTGGCTGCCTCCTTCATGCCCGCTACGGGGGATCAAGCCCGCAACCTGGGCATGTGTCCCGACCTGGATTTAACTATGATCTCCTGGTTTATAGATCGATGCTCAACCTCTGAGCAACACTGGCTAGGAACTCTGACTTTTTTGTGTTCTGCCTTTGTAAAGACTAGGATACATGTCTGACCCAGCCAGACATGTATGATTAACTTCTCTTAAAATTCAAATGTCTAGACCTGCTCTAGTCATTTCCCCTCTCCCCCTTTACCTTCTGTCCCCCAGAGTATAAGCTAACTGAGAAACAAGAGTAATCGTGCAGTAAGAGTTTCTTCCTTAGCTGTGAGTGGGACAGAAGTATTCCGGAGCCCCCTTCCTTTGTGTGGGGTGGGTTGCACCCTCAGGGGAACTCTTAGGTACCAGGCTGCAGCCTCCATGGTTGACCCCAGGTGTTTGAGCAGCCTGACTGCAGGTTCCTGATGTTCATGTCTATCTTCTGAGGGGCCAGGTGCCAGGCCAGTCCAGCCCAGCTGGCTGAGGCTCTCACCCTTACTCCTAGTTTCTGCCGACTTTCTTTGTTTGGGGTATTTCTACCTTGATCCATATGTGCATTTGGGGGCCAAAACTGGTCAACAGGATGCCAGAAACTCCCTGCTTTCCAGAATGCCACGCTCCTCTTGCTCTCAGATCAGGCCCTTCACACCGATGCTGGCCTAAATGGTACACGAATTCTCTACAACTGCACCTGAGTTCACACTGAGACCTTGAACCTGAACTATTAACATTTGCAGCCTGGGGGAGTTCCCTGCCTGGTGCCAGCCACCTCAGCAAGATTCTCACAGTGAATGCCCACATGTCCATCACTCAGCTAGTCCTCCTGCTTTGACAAATTAGTCCCCGTTAATGAGAATTAAGTCCAGAGTAGCAGCTCCCTGATTAGATTCCCCACCCTCTGAAGGGTAAAATTGCTGGCAAAACAAGTGACAAATTCTCTAGAATTTCAGCATTTATCTTAACGGGACTTTGAGGATTTAATTTAGGTGTAGTTGTGACAAAAATACCTTGCCTATTTAATAGTTTTGCTGTGCATTATCAAAAATTAGTCTAGGCCTCCATCTCAACATATAGGGGGTCCCCCCAAAATGTATACACACATTTTGAATAATTATAGAGGCAGTGTCTATTAAAATACATTTTATTTTCAAACTTGAGCTATTGGCTGTTAAAGTGTGTATACATTTTTTGGGGACACCCTCTGTGAGTATATATATATATAATTTTCCCATAATTATATTATTTAAATTTTCCCTGACTTCAGATTTATAGATATTCAAAAGGGTAGGTATCTTCTTTCAAAGCAAGAAAGGCTTAATAACAGAAAACAAATAATATTAACACATACTCAAGCCACAGTGAAATAGTTTCCTGGGATTATAAAACAGAGAACTATTTCTATGCCAGACATTCTGACATCAACTATATACCAAAGGTGGAAAAATATCAGGTATCAAGAACCAATGTAGTCTAAGAATTAGCACGTAGATAATGGCTTGTAATAAAGCAGTAATTAAATGACTACAGTTATGTTATAGTAGTTAATAACTAAACACTTGTTGATCTTTCCAAGGATAGATAAATACCTTAAAATGTATTCTATTTTTTTTATAATTTTCTAAACTAAGATCTTACATTTGTAAATATTTACTCAAAATCATTAGCTAAGTTATACAAAAAAATATATTTTTGCCTTCTTCATTCCTGATGAGATTTTTCTGCGATAACTTTACATTCAGACATTGCCAGTTGTTGACCAATATTTCCCATTGTTATGCCTCCAGCAAAAAAATATACATGGTAACCAAGAGCAAACATAGAGAAAATCTGGAGAAACATATTGATAAACACCATTATAGACTAGCAGTTGAGAGACCAAGGTTGCCAAGAAAGCAATTCCTACTCCAAGGCCAAAACCAGTTCGAGATCTATCAAAAGTCCACCACAGGCCAATGGAGAGTGCAGCCAGTGTGAGACAACTGTATGTTGTTATCAAAGTCCCCTTTAGCGCTGGCATGATTTATACCAACAAAGGCGGCTACGTACCGCATTACACTGGAGCACTCTCTCTTTTTTATTTTTTTAAAAATTCTTTCTTGATTAAGGTATTACATATGTGTCCTTATTCCCCCATTACCCCACCCCCCGCCCCCTCGCTCATGCCCTCAACCCCCCTGTTGTCTGTGTCCATTGGTTAGGCTTATATGCATGCATACAAGTCCTTTGGTTGATCTCTCCTCCTTACCTCCACCCTCCCCTACCTTCCCTCTGAGGTTTGACAGTCTTAAATTTATGTGGTTCTCCTAGGTGCCTGTCAATGCAGGGGTATAATAACCCAATCACCGTAGAAATCCCCCACCTCCACCATCTTCTAAAATCATTAGCTAGCTTAATCTCTTAAGTAAATTACACCTCACTTGGGCCGATATTAAATTTTACTTTTATTCTGTGGCCCACGGATACATTCTGGCTCTGGATAATCCACAGTGGATGATTGACACACAAATGAAGAACCATTTGCATGTGATGCAATCTGGGAAGAGTCTAAAGTTGTACAATTTAGCACCACCTAGAGGCAAGCCTATAGTTCAGAACAGTGACTTTCCTGAGCTCAGTAAGTGGCTGAACTGATTTCCTTCAAATCAGTACTCAGTTAAATGAGAAGCAATGGCTAGGATACCTACTGGCTGATTCCACCTCATCATGCTGGCACAATGACTAGAATTTAAGGAATAATATATGAAGTAAGATCATTTAGGACCACCAAAGAACTGACAAGGGAACCGCAAGGCTGTTTGTCCCCAGGAGCCATCCTGGGTTCAGTTTCACGGATGTCCACCAAAGCAGAGCCAATGGTGACCAGACTGAAGATTCAGGGCCCCCTGTTTAAAAACTTCAACCTAAAGTACCCCAGGTCTGCTCTCGAGAATGAAGAAACAAAACTCACATTGAAAGCATCTTTAAAATTATATACTTGAGCCAAACATTTGGGAATAGAAACATCTAGACAAATTGGAGGCAAGAGGGGGGATCGAGCTGTCTTCTAACTCAGGGTTTCACAAAGCAGAAGCAGGGAGCCCAGCAAGTCAGCAAGTTCTCCGCGCGGGCGTGAGGGGGAAACCGCTGGCTTTAATAGAGGTTGGTCTTCTGCATGATGCGAAGGAACTCTTCCTCGTTCACTTCGCCGTCTCCATCCCGGTCCGCTTCGTTGATCATTTCCTGCAGCTCCTCGTCGTTGAGGTTTTCCCCCAGCTCGTTGGCCACGCGCTTCAGGTTTCTGAAAGAGATCTTCCCGGTTTCATCATCGTCAAAGAGCCGGAACGCCCTCAGAATTTCTTCTTTGGTGTCTTTCTCGGCCATCTTTTGCGTCATCACGGCCAAGAAGTCGTCGAAGCTGATTCTCCCGGTGCCTTCCTTGTCCACCTCGGAGACCATCTTCTTCATCTCTTCCTTCTTGGGCTCGAAGCCCAGCGCTCTCATGGCCACCTTCAGCTCCTTCACGTCGATGGTCCCACTCCCATCGGCATCGAAGAGGTCAAACGCTTCACGAACTTCTTGCTTCTGGTCTTCAGTGAGCTCGGGCTTCGGGCCCGCCTTTTTCTTCTGGCTGGTAGAGGCCACACTTGGCTTCCTAACGCTGGAAGCCATCGTCCATCCGGCAGCGGTTACCTTTTTAACGGTGGTCCCCCTGCTCGCGCCCGGGCGTCCCCACCTGGAGCGCGGGCGCAGCCCGGCCTCATTCGTTCCCAAACCCTGTCCGTGCGCTCTCCCGGGAGGCCCTGCTCACCAGCCTTCCGTGGCTGCGAGATCTTATTTCGCTCTAACCCGCAGCTCCCTGAGTGATTACCCCGTTTCCACCAGCGGAGACCCGCTCTGGCACGGGCTGCCTGTCGCCACAGTTGTCCTCCATAGCGCACTGGCACTTGCTCGTCTTTCCAGGCCATTTGTCAGAATCTGCAGAACCAGGTGTATAGGGTTATTGAGAGTCCTCCCTACTAGTTAAAAAAAAAAAAAAAAGCTCTCTTGGTCTGAGATTACTCGAAGGTAAATTTAGGATAATCAAGATTGGGTTTGATCCCTTGGCATTAAATGTGGGGGAAGAAGGAGGAGAGAATATTAAAAGTCACACCATGTGTTGCAATGGACATAAATGGAAAACAGATAAAATGGAAAAAGTTATGTATAAAATTTGTAGAAGTTTGTCTCCTGACATTACGCTCCACAATAATAACACTTCACTGGTTTATTTGGCACACACTGGAATAGGAAATGTAATATCCAACTGCATGATTTACTCCCCGTGTTTCAATTTTATATACTCAGTGTAATTGCACTCGAATAGTGGTCATAATTTCATTCACTAGGCTTTTGATTTGCAGAGACGGGTTGGAATACTGCATTCTGGTATTCAGGCATTTAAAAAAAACCCTCTAGCAGCACATTACTCTCACTGTTTATCATCCAATCATGCCGGGCTAAAACCCACTCTCTGATTACCCTGCTTGGCAGTGGACACGGGCAGATGATGCAGAGCAGGTTGGGACTCAAAATTGCCTCCTGAGAATGGAGAGGCAAGAGGAAACTGGAAGCCTTTTAAATAAAAAGAAAGAAAAAAGTAAGGCCATAAAGGAATTGCCTTTAGAATTGCTCTATATTTCTTTAACTTTTATTAACAGTTAAAAAAAAAAGCTGACTTTTTTTTTGCATTATTAAAAAAAATCTCAATTTATCTCTACTTAACCTGTTACAAGAGGGCATTTTCAAGAATTGTTGTTTTTTGTTTTTGTTTTTTAACAGTTTTTGTATCACCAGCATCTAGAAGAGTGCTTGACATACACTAGGCAAATTAATAAATATTTTTTGAATACATGAATGAAAATTAATGTTGGTCTTAAAATACTTCTGATTTTTCAAAATAAACAAAAGTCCCCAAAGATTTAATTATGCTAGGAGTATTTTACAAATTATGTGTTGTTTTTATTTTTTAAACTTTAAAAAATTATATTTTTATTGATTTCAAAGAGGAAGGGAGAAGGAGAAAGAGATAGAAACATCAATGATGAGAGAGAATCATTCATCAGTTGCCCACTGCATGCCCTCTACTAGGGATCGAGCCTGCAACTCGGGCATTTGCCCTGACTGGAATCGAACCGTGACCAGGTCCTGGATCATAGGTCGATACTCAACCACTGAGCCACGCCAGCTGGGCTGTGTTGTTTTTATTTATTTTATTTTGAGGGGCTGTGTTATTTTTAAATTAGTGACCAGATTTTGTTTACATGGCATGCTTAATTAGCCAGGTCTGACTACCTGCCCTAGCCCATATGTGACTTAATGGACAGAGGGCCTGGGCACAGGATTTCTAAAGGTCAAAGAATTTTACTTAGGATCCTCACCCCCACCCCAAGCACTTGTTACAGAGGTGTTAATGCAGAGTGGACTTGGGCAAGTAGGCACTCCAGCTGCCAATTTTCCAACACTGCCAATCCTGCTGCTTTCTTGACCAGGTCAAAAAACCTGGGATCTTATCCTAAACCCATGCTTTATTACCTCTGTGCCCTTGAGAAAGTCAGTGAACCTCCCAGACTCAGTTGAAGCATCTGCAAAGTGGGTATAATAATACAGCTTCCTTGCATGTTCAGGGAGCTACTCCAGGGACAGTCCTCTAGTGGGTCAAAAAGGGATGGGAAATTGTTAGTTGAAGCTGAATTCCTCCCAGACATTGTTCATTTCTTTTGACACTGCTCCTTGCCCAAATTCAAGCCAAGCTATGCTGTGTTGGGAAAAAAACTGAAGGATAGAGGCTGCCTTATACAGAGTTACATTTGGGACGAGCTGAGCTCTAAGCACAATGGTTGTCATGGTTTCCAGATGTGTGCAATCAACAGTCACAACGTAGGGCCACCAAGAGCTCCCTTTTTTGGAAAAAGCACTCTCAATCAGAGTCGGCTCTTGGTGGAGAGTTACTTTATGTTCATAATCTGTCATCTGGTGTAAAAAGGGAGGAAAATTTACATTGATTGCATGCCTAGGATTGAACTTGCTCCTCACATTTGCTGTCCTTTTTCATCGTTGCCATCATTTCCCATTTTGCAGATGGAAAAAAAAAAAGAGGCCAAGGAGAGGTTTGTAACATATCCAACGGTACTCGGCCAATAAATGGTCACTCTGGGATTTAAACCTTGGCCTGTCTGAGTCCAATGCTGAGGCTTTGTTTGCATCATGCTGCCTTCTCCAAAAGTTGATACTATTACCAAAATGTAGTATCACTGGGAGGATGTGATACTGACTTTCTTCCCTAAACCTAACAAGAATTAAATATCTTGCCTAGAAATGTTTTAACAAGATTTTGGAGGATCTCAGACAGGGTCCCATTCTGGGGCAATTCATGGAGAGAGAGAGCAGTATGTGTGGTATTTACGTTCGTTCATCTTTAAATCTGCTTCACGTCATTCCCTGCTTTCAGCGCCAGGTATAAGTTTAGTGGCAAACGGTCTGGGCAAAGTGCACTTAATTGGCATTAGTGAGAGTCTATATTGCAGTGTGAAAATCAGTTTAATTGCTTTAATGTCACTTTTCAAGTTCTAATAAGACTGACATAAAGTAAATGAGATGTCCTGGAAAAATCGATGGATAGGAACAATTTTGTTTCGTTTTGTCTTGTTTCTTGCACTTAAAATTCTTCGTACAAGAATGTCCTAGGTAATATACCAAATCAGCAGTTGATTATCTGAGAGGGGGGAAAAGAGATGGTTGTTTAAATCTGGTCATGGAAGCTTAACAGCTGGGAGGGAGGAAAAAAGAGGTGCTGGAGTTTCACAACAGGGTCTGGGGTCAGCTGAGACCAAGAGAAAGGACCCATACAGTTTGCTTATTCTCATTGTTTGGTTTTCTATTTGACTTGCATGGCATGAAAAATGCGAGCCTTGAGAGCCTTTTAAAATTTAAGTTGCACTCAGCAAATTCAGCAAATTCCAGGTACCACCCAAGGCAGAAAACATGCATAATAAAGTTTCTTTATTGCTACCTGTTTACTTTCCAACACATGCAGAACAGAGAACATACAAATGCTTGACACGTCTACTAAGCAGGACAACTGTGCCAGGGTGGTGGAGGGGTGACCCCCCAACCAACAATAACAGAACGAAACGATTTATTCTTGAATATGTGAAGCCATTTACAAGAACTGGACTGAGCAGCAAGCGTTTTACAATCCCGGTGGTCTTTGAGTGAGATTATGAAGTTCAGTACAGTGACTCAGCCCAGGACTTTTTGGCAAGCCCAGGAACAGACTTAAGTGTCCAGCCAAGGGCTACATAATTTCTCATTCCACAAACCCCAGAAATAAAGAAATACTCCTCTCAGATATAAAAGCAGACTGTGTTTTAGAAAAGAACTTACCAGAATCGCACTCTGCTTCCCAAACTTTCACCCAAATACTCCTGGTAGGAAAGGAGATCTAAAGCACTTCCTTGGGACCCAGAGAAACATTTGGAAAAAGCCCCTAACAGCATGAACTGTCTTTATAAGCCCGTGTTTTCTCTTTAAAAAAATGAATTGTTCTGCTCTGTCGCACATTTGCTGGTTTCATGATGGTTTCGAATGACTGACCATTGAGCAAATTTAATTCCCTTGGAAAAAAAACGCACTGTGCGTATGTTGTGACTTTACGTGTATCCCGAGGACATGACCAGAGGTTAGTAGCACTTACATTCTTTAGAAAACTCGATCTAATGTGGAGCTTGAGGTGAAAAAATAAAGAAAGAAAGAAAGAAAGAAAGAAAGAAAGAAAGAAAGAAAGAAAGAAAGAGCGAGCAGCGATGTTCTCCTCCCCACCCAACCAAGTTCCTCTCTCCTTATCCACCATTTGGATTTGGGAGTCAAAGAAGAGAGAGGAAGGACCTGAGGAGCAGAGAAAGGAAGGCGAATGGATCTCCGGAGCATTTTGAACGTGAGAGGTAAAGTGAAAAGAAATGCATCCCACAAAAGAACCACTGCCTGCTCATCCCAGAGCCTAAATTAGCCAAGTAAGCTGCATGTTAAGAGTGTATTTAAGGATTGCTTTGATGGAAACAAACTGAGAAAAGACACAATCTATGTTGATACAAATTCAAAGCAGAACCTCCCAGGATTTATGATCCAGCAGTTCACCACGCTGTAAGAAACGTGCAGAGGGCCCACCAAGTGCAGGCGTACAGAAGAAAATGCAGAACCAAGAGGCCTGGGAGTGGCTTACCTGGATTTTTAAAGTATCTCAGAGGCTAAGCTGTTGGTTTATTCTTGGGTCCACCTTCTTTCATTCCCTAAGAGACTTCAGCTTCTAAAGCTGACTCCTCTGTTAAACTGAGGAAAATTTTCCGCTCACTGAAGGTGAAAAGGTCAAAAGCCCTCAGGGGTGTTAGTAACACAGAATGAGCCAAGTAAGCTGCATGTTAAGAGTGTATTTAAGGATTAGCAGAAACCTTGAGAGTTTGTGCCCTTTTAAAATACATTGAAATTCAAATTAAAAAACAAAACAAACAAATGTGCAGGCCCAAGAAAACAGATCTTGTGGAAAACAGGTCAGGCAGAACTTGGCCTGTGGGCTGCATGTTCTTCCTCCAGCCCTTGTATTGGCCACTTCTTCTGCTGGGGTTCAGATAGCAAGGATACATTTT